CTCAAACAATCGAAAAGTAGTGCTTCATTTTAATCTAACTGCCCTGATATTTCTCGCATTAATCAATTCTTTATGTAACTATTACGCTTCTCCTACACACCTTTCTCTTGCTCCACCATAATCCGCTCGCTTGATAAAACGCTCTCATTACACTTTCTCTTAACCATTTTTCTTTCTATTATGATGTTGTGTTCTCTTCTTATCTCGCGATAGGTGGCCACATCTAACTTACAGTGCGCAGTGTTGCCAGAATTTTGCTTTCCATTTTCTTCTCTACTAATATGCTTTTAAACAAAATTTGGCATTTTTTGTATTTATTTTAGTGTAAATATTTTTATATTTTTTTTCGCTATGAAATTTTTCAACCTCCAAAAATATTGCCTTTAGTTGTTTCTATTCGTTTTTAATTTAATTTTTTTTTTACAATTAAATATTGCAGTTGCCCGCCTGTTTCTCTTTTACAATGTATTTTTACAATTCTTCAATGCTCATTGCTCTCTCTTTCTCTTTACCTTCCGCATACTTTCAGCACTTTCCCTGAACTACCAACACACTCTTCGTTTTTTTTTCACTCTGCTTGCCTCTCACTTTGCTCTTCGCTTGTTCTCTCCATTTCTAGATCATTCATCTGCTCTCTATATCTCTGTACGGTTTTCTGCACTCTCAAATCCTTTTCTTTCTGTTTTGTTAAAAAATTTCATATATAAAAATTGTTTTGTTATTTTTTAAATGTCTTTCACATTCGTAGCGTATTTTTTGATTTTACTTTTCAGTACTTTTCTTTATATCATTACTCACAATACAATTTTCAGTTCTATCTGCCACTCTCTGGCCAAAATTCTGTTCTCTCCAGTCATGCTTTTCCCCGCTCCGTCTCCCGCTCAACATTCTCATCATATTAGTTTGCTCTCGCCTCCTAACCTCAACTTCCCTTTACTCTCACTTCTCTCATCGCTTCAGAGCCAAACTATCTGCCTCTCAGTTTTTTAAGGGATTTTTTTCTAAATTATTTTTCTTTCACTAAATTTTACTATATGAGTACTCGTAATATGTTTTTAAAAAAATTCTTATAATATTTGCAAAGTTGGTGTTTCAGTTTTGACTTCATGTTGGTCTCATTATCTTGCTTTTCACTTAATTTTCTTATTTTTCATTAAATCTAATTAATATTTTAATTGAATACTCACTTATTTGAACGAATATTTCAATTTTTAAAATAATTTTTTTTTTCTTTAAAAATTTTCTCTCTTTTGTGCTCGCAAACGTTGCCTATTTTGTTTCACATTTGTTTATGTAATTTTTTTTCAATAAATATTTATTTTGATGTAACATTTATTTTTTGAAGAATTTCATATAAAACACATTTCTACTAATTAATTAATTAATTATTATTCTCTTCAAATACAGTAAGCGTCAGAAGTAACAACTAAAAGAATCTAAGTATTAGAAAAACATTCATTTATCTTTGCATATTGATTATTCATAAATTTTTTTAAATATATTACTTTAATTAAAAATTTTTGTTTATTATTTTTTAATATTGATCGTGTTTAATTAACTACAAATATTTATGATTGATAGCACATTGGAAGTATTGAAAGTGTAGAGTGAGAAGTGTTGTAGAAATATTCAAAAAATTATGTAAGCTTAAAAAGCACTAAAGCTATTTATACTACGGTGAACTTTGAGAGCATAACGCACGCGCAACATCGGTTACAATTTAAACAACCAGTCAGCGAGTGGGAGAAATAGAGGAGGGAGAGGCAGAGAGACTAAATCTTAGCAGTAGCAAGCGATAAAATATGGATTGGAAGCGAAAGTTCAGGCCACTGATCCCCAAAAGCTAACTGACTCAATGATGAAAGCTGAATCAGTAACTGAAATTGTACAAAATAAAGCTTTGATTATTATAAAATATGCGGAAGCAAAGAAGCAGCTCTTTTCGTTTAGCCTTTTATAAATTCCTCTAACCCTGTTTTTATTTGATTACATAAAGGAGGCATTAAAACTATGGTCTTGACCATTTCCCCCATTTTAAGGAGAGTGCTAGTTATCGAACTTGACTATTAAATTTCAGTTTCAATAAGTTGGGATCACTTCATGTTTGGTTTTGTCAAGAACTCAAAATCGATGAAGAATGTGCTGAAAGTTTGGTTCAAATTAGCTAGACTGTACCTAGAGAGCTTAAATTAAGCTTTCGTATATTTTCAATAAAATACAATAGCTTTACCACCGTTGGAGTATTTTTTTGATCGGGTATTGCTGAAACTTCAATGGGAATTCGTTGGAGAAATTGAGTCAATACCCAGTTAATCTTTATCTTCTCTCTTCAGCCAGATCTTGGTGTAGAACTTAGTTGAAATTTAGCCCAACATATATCAATAATGACAACTACAGGGTAAGCTGACAGAGTGCAGCTTTCTCTGGTCTTTAAGTCTAAGTTCTTGTTCTCTCAAAACCGCTCCAACAGTCAATTTCAAACTTCAAGGCTCTTTAGGCTGCTATCGAAAACAATATTTTTAGCAATGCCATGCTCTTACCTGTAGTTTTTACAGCAAAAAATACTGCTGGAAGCTGTCCTTCAGTCACAACTTTCTACATAAAGCTTTAGAAAGCTCACGTTGAGTTGTTGATCTGTGTAGCTTTTATGTTTGCTTAGACTTCACTTCTTTACTTTCAAATATGCTCCTTCGGTATATATTAACACTCAATCCGGTGCATTTTCGTATTTTCTTTAGGCATAAGTATGATGGCACTTAATTAAGCTCTCTCTCTCTCCCTCAAAATTATTGTTCGTTTGCTTCTTAGCTTTCGTACTGTGTGCAAGTGTTTATCCTTGGAGTTCACGGGCCTTATATGACTTTTCGCACAATTTTATCCGCATTTCCTATTCTTGCTATATCTTTTTTTCTCTTTCACTTGCTCTCAACGCCTCAGCTCACCTTGCAATTAATTTTCTCTTCAGCACTTCTAAGCTATTTTCCCATTCTGTTCTGCAAGGCGCACAAAAACCTCTTCTCTTAAACTTACACTCTTCTACTCTTTTACTCTTACTGCTCTTGACCGCCGACACTCTCTCTCTCTCTCTTTTTCAATCTTTCCCCCACTCTTTTCCTCCCACTCTCTCTCCAACACCCAACTCGTTAATAGCCAATCAGTGAAGCGCGTGCGTAGTTGCCACCTATTTAGTAGTGATGTAATCGATTTTTCTGTTTTTTAATTTGAAATAATTCACACATTTATTTAGATAATTTTATGGCAATATCAATTAATAAATTTATAATTTATAATAATCATAATAAATTTAATAATAGCAAATAGCTTGAATTTTTGTTGTTTTCTTTTTTGCATTCCTATTATTTATTTGCATAAAATATTCATATATGTGTTGCGTTCATTTTACTGTTAGACATATTAATGTAAGTAAGTATGTATTCAAATAGTTATTTATGCGTTGAAATATGCGTAACGGTTGCTCGACTTTGTTCATGTTTGTTCATGTTTTTGGGTGTGGGCGTATGTGGGTGTGTGTGTGTGTGCGATTGTTTGCGATTATTTTGTAGTTATTTTTTACTTTTTCCTTTTTACTTTTGTTTTGTTTAATTTTATTTTTATTTTTTGTTTTTTTATTTATAGTTTTTGGGTGTCGCATGCAATAATTAATATGAATTTAATAATAAATAGATTTTTATGTGTTTTTTTCTCAGCTTTTATTGTTGTTTTTTTTTTGTTTTTTGTTTTTGAGTTTTTACTTTTGTTACTACGAAACGAATAAATTAATTTAATTACGAAAATTTATATTTAATATAAGATAATATATATGTATATATGCGCGTATATGATAGACAAATACAAATACGAATACAAATACAAATACAAATACAAATACAATTGAATTAAGTACAATTAAGTAATTAGTTTAAGAAGTGGCTTTTACAAGTGACGCTAAGTACATATTTTGTTTAAATAAATTTCGCTTAAATATTTCCCACATAAGTACATAATAATTTATAGTTATTTAATTGTAATAATTATAATAATAATAATAATCGTAATAAATATATATTTATGTATGTTTATTAATTAGTAATAAGTTATATATATGTATAAGTAGTTATACGATGAGTTTGAGAATTAAGTATTTCCTTCGGTTTTGCCTTTTGTTTTTGCTTTTGAGAATTTTTATTTGCTTTTGCTTTGCTTTTGTTTCATTTTTAATTTCGGGGTTGCGGGTGTTGTGAAAAAACTACTATTTTGGCCCAGTGTTGGTTTTAGCATGCAGTATTGCTACTTTTTTGTTGACCAATTTAGCTACAGTGTTGCTTTAAGCGCTTAACGGGACTTGTAGCGTTTGCATGTTGCTTTATGCGTGAGAGCGCGCCAACACACTTGCGCTTTTTGCCTCGCTCTTTCTCTTTCTACTTGGTCTACATAAAGCATGCGTCAGTTGTTTTTATTTTGTTAATTTTAATTTGTGAGCTTACTGTTGTTGTCTCGTTCTCTCAAAGACTCTTCTTCAACTACTTATGGCTTGTTTGAACACACCAAAAAATATTGCCTAGAAAGCTTTGTTTTCGTTTTTGTTTTTTTTTTCTTGTTTGCTATTGTGTTATATTTTCTAAGCAAAGCTTTCCTCACTCCCTTACTGCCATGGCTACAGTGAACTCATGCACACATGGCTCTCTTTCGGCCTCTCTTTCGCTGTTTTCGCTACGGCATCAACGTTTCTCTCACGTTATCTCGCTAACAAATGTTTAAGTTTAATAAATAGTGTCTACAAAATCAAAATAAATTTAGCACAAAATATAATTTTTACTAATTTCTCAATCAAGTATTTTGTTTTTGAATAAATCTTCGTGTGACTAGTGGTAAATTTCAATTTCCAATTTCTCAACACTGTTTTGCTTTTTTGTATACTTTTACTCAATTTTTCTGCTTGCCTACACACACCTATGGCTGCATTTAATATAGTTATATAATTTATATAAATTTTTTTTGTATTTTTTTTAGCTTTTGTTGTTGTTGAGTGGAACTGCGTTGATTTTTTAGGGGGGGTTTTTGTTCTCTAAAATACTTGCTCTTTTTCCTTATTCTTTTCGTCTTTCTCTTCTTTCCTCACTGGCCCTCTCTTCAACACCAGCTGTTGCACTCTCTTTGCTTTGCTTGAAAGACCAACCCCTTGCGCTCACGCGTCACGCCATTCACTCTTTAAGCAGTTTTAGTTTTATTTGTCTTAAAGCTAACTTGCAGCACCCTGTTGCCGAGTGTATAACCGTTGAGTGATTGTATTGCCACAACCGCTTCGTCGTAATTCGTCATTGTCACAAAGCCGAAACCCTTGCATTTGCTCGTCTGCAAATCACGTATGACTTTAACCGATTGGACGGCACCGAATGGGCCGAATAACTGCCATAAAACGTTCTCCTCCGTTTCGGGTGCGAGGTTGTAAACGAATATGCACCAACCGGAACCGGTCATAGCATTGCCGGGTAGTATGGAGTTGGCTAAGAGATCACCAGCCAATGGTGAGTATCTAGATATGGGAAGAGAAGAAGAGGGAGATTTCAATTCATGAAATGTGTTTGAATAAAATATTTATTGCTTTAGTTATGGACAAAGAATTTAATGCGTTTATGACTAGTTGTTTTCTTTTATCGCTTCTCTTCTTTCTTTTTTTTTGCGAAGAGTACACTTGTTTGTTCCCAATTACTGTTAAAAAGCACGCTGAGCGCACATTTTCCGTTACTACTTCTACAGACTACGAATAAAGCTCATTGAAGCTTCTCACCAACTGAGTTACATAAAAGCTTACGTTTAAAGAGAAGTGAGAGAGGGCTTTGCACGAGGAGATAAATTAAATGAAAAGTAAAGCAGGGAAAAGGAACTTAATCAAATTTAAAATTTCATACACTAAAACATTTATCATTTAAGCAAAGAAATATAAAGGAGACAACAATAGCCACAGAAAAGGGTTTATGATTTTAATTGGTGTAATAAAAATTATTCATCAATTTCAAGAAAAGAGAAGTAAGGCGAAAGGACAGACTTTGAAAAGTTAGCCTGAGATATCTCTAATAAGAGCTTTCATAGTTTACAAAAGGCGTAAATAAATAAATTTAATATTTTTTGAGAAATCTTTTGCCACTCGAACTGTCACTGGTTTAAGCTTTAAGCTCGGCAGGTCTGTTGGATTTTTCGATTATCCTTCAGACGAGCTGAAGGTGAGTCCGTCGCCAAAAAAATTCCTATTCTCGTTCTATACAAGTGATCTGCAGACCAGAGCTTACCGACCACCCCACGAGCTACTCAACTGCAAATCCATTTTACTTAAATAAAATTCATTAGTAAATGTATAAGTGATTGTCACAACAATAACAACAATAACAAGTGGGAAAACACTGAGTTGCGAGAAAAGAAATTTAAAAAAAAATCGAAAAATAATATTACAAATATATATACTATGAGTACAATAACACAATTCTTGCTAAAAAAAAAATGAAAAAATTTTACTCTTTTCAAACAAAATTCCACATTTGAGGCATAAAAGGCAGAAATTGTTGAGGACAGCGCAAGGGGTTTACTTAGTACATCTCTTCTATTGAGCATTAAAAACGTGGTAGAAGCTAAATGTTTAATATGTTTTCTAAAACAGAATAAAGCATTCTATTGTTTTGAATAAAAAAAAACTTAAATTAAATGTTTTTAATTTTTATGAAATTTTTGTAATTTTCGTTGATTTAACAAACTTTTTTTTTTTTTTTTGCTTCAGCGAACAATCAAAGCGTAAAGGGGGTTTAAAAACTCAGTTTTTTTTTTTAGAATACAGAACTATAGCGAAAAGTGGGGTACAAAAAACATGATGCATTTGAGTGCAAACAAAAATAATGAAAAAAATATTTTTTTTTTAAATATTTTGTAGATTGGTTTTCATTCATTCAAAAACAGATTTAACCGACATTTTTTTTTCATAGAACATTGAAAGCCTGGAAGGGTCTAAGTATTAAAACAAAAAAAAAATCCCTTATTGTAAAGGGTGTTTTTTAGACGTGTGGCTTTCAACGAGGCCGTACTTCTTTCGAGTTGGTGGAGAGCCTTTACTTGATTTCGCACTACGTTTACTCCAGTGGACAAAGCGCATCCTTAGCCTATGGACAGAGGGACTCATTGGTCTATATGTCTTCCGAAATGAAGCCACTCTTAATGTTACGGTCAAAGGCTCTATTAGCCATGAATTTATTCGACTCGACTTTTTTTGAGCGCCATTTCACTTGCCGTGGGGCATGTGGCGTGCCCGCCTTACTATTTTTTGCAGAGTTATATGAAGTCCCTTGCCCAATTTTCGACGCTCGCCAATCCATATCTTTTTAATTATATATTACAGACGTTCAATTCTTGTTGAAAACCACATATCTTAAAAAACACCATTTATGTTTGAAGAAAATAAAAAATATGAAGGATTTTTTATGCAACATTTTGGGAAAATATTCTTACGGTTAAGAAATTAATGAAATAATTAATTAATGTACTTTTTTGGAAAAGTATTATTTTTATTTAAGACACTTTTTTAAAAAGTATTATTATAAGTGAAAACAAAACAAAAGAAAAAAATTTTTTTTTAATAATTTTTTAAATTTTTTGGCCCCTCAGAAAATATTACTCATTAAAAATATCCTTAAACTAAACAACTCATTAAGAATTCTGATTTGTAACTAATTTTTTTTATTGTTTATTTTTTTTTTTAATTTTGAAAAATTTTTTTTAAATATTTTTCTTCATTCTTTTCCAACTTTGCTTTGAACATTTTTAAAAAAAAATTGTTTTGACTTAAAAAATGTAAAAGACTTCAGAGCTAAGGAAGGGATTAAAATATAATTAAATTTTTTAAAAATTTTATTTCTACGAAATAATTTTTTTTTTAAACAAATATTACAAAACTCCAAATAGTTTTATTTGCATCACTTTAACTTTCAACACACATTTGCCATCGGTTTCAACAGAAAAACATAATTTTTTTCGAAAATAAATACAATTATTTTAATAATAATAATAATAACAGAAAGTATTCACCTTTGTAAACCCTTGTTAATGGCTAACATCGGGCTTTTTCCAATGCTAAAAACGAAATTGGTTGTTTTGCAGGTCAAATATTTTGTTTGTTTGTTTGTTTGTTTTTGCATTTAAACAACAAAGAAGAAGAAAAAGAAAAAACGAAAAAGAAGGAAAAATTAAATAAGTACGGTTTTCATTTCAAAACAAAAGTTAGTAGCGAAAAAAATTGGCTGCGTTAGTATGACTGCTGAAATCGATTTTCAAACAAAAAAATTTGTAGAGCTAAATTTTGGTTTCGAAAAAAAATGTATCGAAATTAAGTTAATCGAGATTTCATTTTTTTTTTTTTTTGCAAAATATATATATTTTTATAGTTAGAAATTGTGTTTTTGAAATTTTAAGTTGGTACAGAACACTTTTTTATTAAGAAATAATATGCAGCAGAGACGCTGAGTGAAAAATACGGAACTGAAAGAAAGAATTTTTGTTTAAGAAAATAAATATAGTGAGTTTGATATTTGAAGCTAACGGTTGTTCAGGTAATGCTTTTGAGTTGAAAATAAAATTTGAAAATAATTTAAATAATACTCAGACAGTCTTGGCTGCTGGAAATGGTGTTTGGCTTGACTAAACTAAGCGCTGGACTAAATAGGAAATGCTTTTGAGGAAGTCTTTGGAGTTAAGGAGTACGTTTTATATATATTTGGAAACAAAATGTTGCGCTTAAAAGCACACAAGAGAGCTTTTATACCACAACTGTAACGAAAGCTCAAGCTGGAGCCATTAACTAGCGCCTACCTTGTCATACATTCAGTTATTTGTTGTATTAAAGTTTCTTGAATATTCAAAAAAACTGTATTTAAAAATACTTTTTCTAACTTTTGCCTCTACGATTCTACGCCTTTCGTACACTCACCTTATGCGACCAGCCGATGGCAGTGCGCCAGCGAGGCGACGCGTTGCGGCAGCTGCTTGTGGTGTTAGATAAGCAGCCAATGGTGGTGGGATTTGGGCTTTGGCGCTATTACTGGGATTATTGGCAAATTTAACGGTTATCGGTTCGGTATAACCTTTGGGCGTTTTACCATTTAACTCCTGTATAGCGCGTTCGGCTTCGTTGCGTTGATCGAAACGTATAAAACCGACACCTTTCGATAGACCTAAAAAGTTGAAAATAAAGAGAGAGCAAGTAAAATTATAAGATGATGATAAAAATTAACATTATTAAATAAAAAAAAAAATATTTGGAAGAGAGCAACAAAAGCTTAAATTCGTTTTAAGAGCGAGTTTGAAAAATTATATCAAATGAGCGTATCTGGTACGTGTCTTCACTATATTCACTCATAATCACATAACATGTGGTTTGTGTCTTTGCTAAATGTAAGTAACTGAGAGTTAAATTGATAAGATTCTCAGCTAACAGTCGCTCAAATATTTTTTTTTAATTGTTTTTGATATGATTTTCTGTTACTTCTTTTCTTGTTTCCCCTTTACTCACCAGAAATATTATCACAGAGTATACGAGATGTAATTATCTTGCCATATGATGCGAATAGTGCCTCCAAGTCTGGTTGTGATAGATTTTTGGGAAGACCCGATACATACAAATTAGCACCCTTTATTGATTCCGAGCTTGGACGGGCGTATGATACTTTAATCACTTTATTTTGCAAACGTAAGCCATTCAATGTATTAACGGCTTTCTCAGCATCCTCGGCGCGTACATAGTTAACAAAACCATAGCCCAAGCTTTGACCGACTAAAGAAAGCAAGATAATATAGGCAATATTAATAAGACTGATATAAAAATAAGTAGGTGTGAGCGATTAATGGCAAACTTACCCTGCTGCAATGCCGGATTGAGAGCAGTCAAGGAAGCCGGTAATACTGCGAAAATGAGAAGAGAAGAAACGAAATTATGTAGAAAAAACTTGCTAGACTTATCTCTTCTTTTACATAATTTCAGTAATGCTTTACTCAATGATATTTGGCTTAGAAGGTTAACTTAGGTTTCACTTAGCTCTCTTTTTGAGAATTGCATTTAGAATACGGAAAATGGAAATATTTCTAAATCGTAGAACTTAATTTTACAAATATTTTACCACAAATCTCTTGAGATTTTTAAGCTTACAATGCGTACTTAAGTACATACTTAGATACATACGTGTACATTAATTATAAATTTAGTAGCGGAAGAAAAAAGTTGAATATTTACCCAAATTACCTGAGGCTTTGTCGCGCACAAGCTTACAACTCTCCAACTCGCCAATGCTCGAGAAGAGCGAACGCATCTCCTCTTGCGTCATGGTCTGTGGCAAATAGTTGACAATTAAGTTGGTGCGCGACTCATCCGAGCTGCCATCAACCGAACCGTTGGCACTGCCGTTCTTCACTATGTCCATGGCGTTAGTCATTTTTTTGCTTTGCGCTTGTTGTTGCTGCTGCGCTTGCTTCTTAATAACTGCTGCTGCTGCTGCTGTTGTTGTTGTTGTTGCTGCTGCTGCTGCTGATGCTGCTACTACTGCTGCTGCTGCTGTTGTTGTTGTTGTTGCTGCTGCTGCTGCTGATGCTGCTACTACTGCTGCTGCTGCTGTTGTTGTTGTAGCTCCGGCTGCGGCGCTTGCGGTAGCGGTTGTTTGCTTTTGGGGCGTAATTTTGAAGAATGACTCTCACCGGTTGTGTGCGCTCGAACGCGTGTTTTCTCTGCCGATGCGCTCTCAAAAAAGCTTGCGCTTGCTTAAAGCTCAAAAAAGCTCGTTCGCACTTGTTTAAAAGCTTGTGTGGTTTTTAAAGCTTTTGCTTGCACTCTTCTTCTCAGACTGTTTGTTAGATCTTTGATCTGCTAACACTCTCTTTCTCTATCTCTCTCTCTCTCTCACTTTGATTCTCTCAGCGCTTTGTTGCTTTATTTGTATGATTTTTTTCCTTATGTAGTTGCTTAGTAATTAGTCTCACTGCTTGTCGCTTAAATTTAATTAAATTTGATTTAATTTAATTTAATTTAAATATTTCTTTTATTAAGTGCTTTGATTGCGCTTTGCACAAGTCCCGTTGGAAAAAAATTAATTACGTAAGTTAAGTTAGTTTAAGTGAGCTTTCGCTAAAAATTATGTTCACACAATTTGCTCTCTCTTTGCTTGACTAGAAGACTTTAACACTGTGTTAGATAAATGAGCTCGGAGCTTTTGCTTGTGGCCACTTTGAGCTTTCGTGTGCTTTTTGTTTGATGCTTATGTTTTTGTTTAGCTTTCGCTCTGCGTTGCTGTATTGGTGTATTTGGGTTTTAGATCAACAATGATCGTTCTTCGCGTTTGATTTGTGTTTTTAATGATTTTCTTTCGCTAAAAATTTTTTAATAATTTTTTTTTCANAAGACTCTCTTGCTCTTTCTAACGCTTTCTCTTAGATCTCCGCTTCTAAATGTCTGTCTCTTTTAACTGCTGCTTTCACTACTGCTGTTGTTGTTGTTGTTGTTATTGGTGCTGTTGCTCTCTTGATCTGCTGGTGCTTTATGGAACATTGGTATTTGTATGTCTCGTGTTTCTATTATTTTTTGTTACTGTTGTTTTTTGTTTTTCTCTCTTTTGTATAAATTTAATATGATTATTCGTTAGCTCCTTTTAAGGGATATATATATTTTTTTTTATTTTTTTTTGCTTTTTATTCTCTGCTTCTAATTTCTTTTAGTTTAGTTTAGTTGGTTTTCTTTGGTGGTGTTGATTTGCAAGATTCTTTGGATCTCGATTTTCGCTTATTTTCTCTTGTCTTCGTCAGTCACGATCTCTTTGATGTGTCTCTCTTTCGTGATTTGGCTGACTCTCGCTTTTTGACAACTGCACGATTGCGCTCACGTTGAAATAATCAAACTGTAAATAGAGAGTAATGTAGAAAGTGAGTAACAAAGACCATATTGGTATTGCCATTCTGGTATAAATATTGTGGTAATGTTATTGTAGTGTTGTTATATTGTTATTGATAAAATGTTGGTTTTTGGGTATTGGTATTAGTATTATGGTATTGATACTAAGGTATTCATATTTTCGGATTTATTTATTTGGTATTATATATGTAGTATATTTTGTATTCTATTGCATCATTGGTATAACAGTTTCCGTATTGAAATATGGTATTTTAGTACTGTTATTGTGACATTGATGTCGTGGTACTGATTCTGATACGTGATAGTGAAGTTGTGACATTAATATTCGTTTTGTAGTATTGATGTTGTAATACTGATGTCTTCACATTGCCATTGTGTTGAGTTTGGTTGTGGCTTTAGTATGATGGTATCTTTGTATTTGTAATGAAAGTTTTCAAATCTGCTCTTCCATTTATTAATATAATATTTACATACATACACAGAAATGTGATTACCTTACGCTTTTAATTTAATTAACAATTGATCTAAATTGTTTGCCAACATTCAAGTGGAGGATGTTGACGCTCCATCTATGGCTTTCAAGAAGTGCTCAATCAGAAAATGTATGCACTCAAACCAGTGCGCGCACACACACACACACACACACACACATTCATGCAAACATAATAATGCCGCTAAAAAATATGTAGCTTCAGCAAGTGCAATGCCAGAAAGGGGCGAATTTAAAAAAAGAAACAGCGAACTGCTTAACGTCTCTGCGGGAAGCCTCGAAGCCTCAGATGCAATCACTAATGAGTGGAGTGAGGCAGTGGCGGGTTGGAGTGAGAGTGTGAGATGAGTAGAATGCCTGCAGCGTTGTTAATGCCCACATGGGTATTAATCAACATTTTTTGCTTATGTAAGTGCATACGTGTATGTGTATGTGTGTGACTATCTCTGGAGGCCGTGCAACATATTCGGCTTAAATTGCAACCCTTAAAAAAGCACCGACTATGCGGCCTTTGCCTTTAGTTACCCTTCTTTATTTATAATATTTGAAGGTTTTTTTTATTTTACTTTTTTTGTGTTTTTGTGTTTTTGTGTTTTTGTAAATGCCATAAACATATGCGGATTATGACTTTAGCGCCAGCGTTGCCACACAATACCAAACAGTGTGCGCTTTTCTTTTTGTTTTTTTTTCTATTTTTTTTTCTTTGTTTTATTTGCAATAAATGCAGTCTTTGTTTTTGTTTTGTTTATTTTTTCCTCTGTTTTTTACACACACACATATATATGTTGCATGCAGCGTTGGGTCTTTGTGCAATTGCTGGGAAGTAATTCGATAATTCGCATATAGATTTCATTTCATTTGTTGCTTTGTTAGCAAATTTTTGTTGTTGCTTTTTCTTTGTCTCGTTGGCTTTTTGAAGTACAAGTGCTTGGAAAGCAGGCGGTTTTTAATCAAATCTGTTGCATATTTGTTGCTAAAGTTTGCGGACACGTAGTTATTTTGTACGAATGAAAAACCAAAAAAATTCTTTAAGGGCTTAAGTTTTTGATTAAGTACCTAAGTTACATTCAAGGATTTGGAAATTTATATTTTTTTGGTGTCTGAAATCAACTTTATTTTATAAAAAAAATATTCAATTATTTAATTTAATTTTTTTTTTTTATATACAGGGTGCGCCATCTGGGCCTTCGGTATTCCAACATTGAATAACTCTGTCAATCGTTCTGTAGTGAAAACAGGCGCGCGCTTATCATGTCATGAAAAATTGTGATTTGGAGTGGACAGATTTAACTGTACCTGACTTTTATTTAACAATGAATTAATCATGCTCATTTATCGAAATCGGATGAAAAGGATCAGAGATCCTCAGAGTTGAAACACGGACGGTCTAGATAGATCACCCTGTACTTAAGTTGTTAAGGTTTAATTAAGTTTTACTTAAGTTTCACAATTATTTACCAAAAATTGTACGCTGTACTGCTCAATGCCTCTTTTGTTGAGTTTTACTTAAGCTTTAGGCATTTCATTGTTGAATTTTCTATTGAATTGCAACGGTTTTTTGTTCAAATACAAAAATTTTAAATATGATTTCCACTGCCTTCTTCACGCTCTCCCACCTGCAAACATACTTAAGCCACTTGCTCTTATGTAAGTCCCTCTCAGCACAGCTGCTCCTTTTCCGATTTGAATAATTTTTTCTTGTTTTCCATTTTAATTCACATTTTCGCTTTGCTGGTTTGCATTTACATATTGGATTTTCAACTTCTATTTTCTCCATAAATGTACAAGGATATACATACATACGCACGTACTCGTATGTGTGCGTATACAACGAAATGTTTTTATGTATAAATGATTTCTAATCAGAATTGCTGGCTGACATGCAACTCCGCTGGTTAACTGTTGTTAGCAGTGCCTAGAGCAGGACTATTGTCCTTGCTGGAGAGAAAATGCACACAAACATATCTATATATGTAATATAAAAACATATTATATGTTTGTATGCATGTGCGTTTGTTTGTGTACGGCGAGGGCTGCATGCAACATTAATTTCACATATTCACATATACTATATATATGTGCATATGTATGTATGTATGTATGTATGTTTGAATCATTCATTCAGGCAATCACTTTTGTTGCTAAGCTGTATTCTGCTGTTGTTTTTGTTATTGTTTTAAATTTTCCCCTCTTTGTTGTTGTTTGATATCGAAATAGTCAAAATATCCAGCTACGTTTGCTTCTATGCGCCTTTTGCGTCGTTAAACGGCGACACACACACACACGCATGCACATACAGATATGCATGTATGTAGGCATATGCTCGTAGTGCATTTACACTGCCTCTCTCACTCTGCGCATTTGTAACTTCTGCCGATGTTTTGGTTGTTGTTGTTGTTGTTGACGCTGCTTACCGCCGTTTTCTCTATGCTGCCAGCGACAGCTGCGTGTGACTTCATAGACAACATGAAAACGCCAACATAAATAAAATGCATAACTGCAATTGCGCTGCTACTATTGTTGTTGTTGTTATTGTTGCTGCTGCTGCTGCTGTTATTATTGTGTCTAGGTTTTTGTTAAGTTCATTGACCTCAACTCGCCACCATCTATTTAGTATTTATGTGTGTAAGTTTGACTTTTGCGCGGCTGGCAGCGCCACTAAGCGGCAAACACGCGAGCTGATAGGCGAACGGACAGACATACATACATACGTACATACATACAAGCGAGTGATACAAGCACATATATGTGATCGTTATCCTGATTGAGTTATCCTTGTAGGCTTTTGTACCTTCTGCATATCGGGATGTGTGTATGTGTGTGCGTCCGCTCGCAGTTGCTTAGGGAAAAATTTAATAATTCATGAAAAGTTAACAGACAGTCTGTCACATGTACATACATACATACATTCACACATACGTGTATGTATGTGTCAGCCAATATGTAATACATTCACCATTTGTTTGGTTATGTAATTACTTGTAATCTTAGTAAAACACCGTTTAATTTCTTAGACATACACACATACTTAGATCTATACATAAATAAAACTAAAAATGCTCCAAATAATACTGGTATACGCTGTAGTTATATAATTAGTTTGATAAAAAACTATAATTAATTGATTTTTTAAATAAAAAAATTTACATTAAACAAAAAACGTAATTATAAAACAAAAATTAAGTAATTATGAAAGAATAAAATTTAGTTTCCAATTCAAATTATAAAACAAATGAATTTTTGAGTATAACAATAACATAATTACGGGATGCTTTTTAATTTGAGAAAAAAAAATTTTTTTTTCTTTTAATTCAAAATTTTTTTTCTATTTGTTTAAATTCGATATTTCGAGCTTAGTTTATTTTTCTTAACAATATTTTCTTAAAATTGGTGTTTCGATTGTAATTTTTCATTTTTCTTGTAAAAAAATTTGTTTCCCAACAATAACCAAAAATATATATGCAAAATTTTAATATATAAATACCGCAAAAAAGATCTTTTTTAACGTTTGCAAGTTTTGTTTTTCGAAAAACATTTTTTTCTATAAAAAATTTCGATTTACATCTTTTTTTTTTGATTTTAATAAACTTTCAAATAAATTAAATGTTCGTTATAAAGCTAATTAAATTTTATATATCATTTTTTTCCATTTTTCAAACAAAAATAAAGTGAAAAAATGAAATATATTTGAGTATAAATATTTTTGGAATTATTGTCTGTGTAAGAAAATATCAAAATAAATGAACTTTTAGATTATGTGTTTTTTTTTTTTTTCATAGAAAAACTTCATTTCAATCTCCAAAGCGCTGCCCTCGAAGCTTATTTATTTTACTTTGCACGTATTCAGCGCAAAAATTATTACACATGTGCAATTACTGATAAGAGTACCCTCTGATTTATAACACCGTGGAATGTAAATAAAAATTGTTTTCTTCGTATAAATCATGTCGCATTTAAAAATTTTAGAATTTGCGAGGGTGCCTGCCTGCTTATCGCCTTTCGCGCTTGATTTGTTGGCTTAAGGGCTGTTTAGCTGAGTTGCAAGCCTCCATTGGCATACAAATACAAATGTGAATATACTTGATTTAAATACAAGCAGTTAACGTGTGTCAACACCCTCTAAACGCCACGCTGAGTGTATTTATCGCATGCAATTAAAATTCCCAAAACCACACTTTTCTAGTTTCCTTACATGAAACTTTTTTACGCCGCTCTTTGGTATATTTTGTCGCCGCAGGCAGTGGTTTCATTTACATTTATATTTTTACCTCTGATTTCTGTAACTGTTTCTTTCTAAACTAAAAGAAGGAAAACACCCCTCCCTCCCTTTACGGAACACTCACACTGAATTATTAAAAGGGAATGAGAAGCCGGATAAACAGCTGAAGTTAATTACAGAAGAAAATTATTTTTGTAAAAAATAAAAAAAAAATTTAAAAAAAATCAGAAAAAATTTTAAATAAAACTAAAAACATGAAGAAGACGCCAAAAAAGAA